TTTAATTTTATAACTTTATAAACAAAAAACCAAGTATTATTCTGTTTTTTTTAAATTGCTAGAATTTGACATACAGTGTAATGTATTTCATTTCATTTATATAATGTCAAAATTTTACAACTCTGTCCCGAATAGTTATAACTTTACAAACAAAAATCCATGACGTCGCACATTCTAGCATAGTTCTGGTATTGAAGTTCTTTGTCTGCGAATCGGTACTCTTTACCTATTTACCTTTGGAGCAGTCTCTTTATTTAGTTACGTATCGAGGCTGTGAGAGTAGGGAGTCAGTGCCAATGTGGAACTAAGGTCAACAAACCTTCTAGGAAAGCCTTTATGGTCTCTGTTTCCCCTTTGTGTCATTCTGCTACGTAGTTAGAGAGTTGATGTTTGTTGTTCATAATAACTTGATTTGTTTTCGTCCGAACATTTGCCGAGCCGAACTGTAAATCTTTTCTTTATGGTTGATTATTCAGTTTTATGTTCTGTGTTAAAAACAAGTCCAGGCTTTTTAAAATAACTTTTTTAATAATAATAATTTTATCTAAAATTTAATTTAGAAAAACTTGCCTGTTGAACACATGTTCGTGCATAATACACATAAACAATATTATAAATTTATCAATTATTATAAACAATCACGTAATAAATAATAAATTGACCTTTCGTAAGTATAAACAATTAATTTATATTGACAGCTCTACGAGAGTGATTCTCATTTATATTTTCACCTTTTAATAAAACATACTTACTCCCAACAAAAAAATGCATCATTTTTTATGATATGCCTATTAGTTCAGATTTAAGCCACTTAACCTATCCAATGTCACGTATCGCTCATAGTTGAAGTTATTTAGAACCATAATAAAAAAACTTTCGAACACAAACCATCTGGGATTTATAAAGGCACATCTGCCAGATTATTATGTTACAAAAACTATTAAGTACTACCTACTAATAAACAAATTGTTTGAATATTTGCTTATTGTTCTAATAATGTTAAGAATGTTATACAATAAATAATTATAAAAAATATTATGCGTATTTTTCAAAAATTAAACCAATAAAAAGTATTTATTTAATATTTAGTAGGTAGTTAGATTTTATAAAAATTTGTTAGGAAAGATTGATATACTTTAAGGCCATTCTATTCTTGTATTTCTTGAAAATCTTAAGAATGTTTTATACCTGAGACAAAGATAAGAGGAAGCTTAAGTCAACTTTTATGGTTTTTATACCATCTCAAGTTAAATTTACAATTTTAAGGTAAATTTATTCCTTTCTGTATTTTAAAGGTGAAAAATTGAAGAGGTCAGTTTTTAAAGGTGCAAAATCTGATGTGTAAAGTCCCACCTTAGCATTTAAATTTTAAATGGAAATAATTTATGTTATCTCTCAGTTTAACGCTAATTTTGTTATTTTCTGAAAATAGTACCACACAAATACGTAATTAGCGTTAAACTGACAGATACGTAGTTTTATTGTTTTTCATTCAAATGTCAAGGTGAGATAATAATTTTAAGAAATCCTACATTTTGAATATTAGAGCTTCACGGAGGTTAGGATTTCGTATTTTTTTTAAACATCCCTTTGTATATTTGAAATAAGTTATTGTATCTTTTGACACCTTAAAATTTTTTAAAAATACAACTGTACATACATAAAATATTTATAAAAAAAATCTACTTACTGAGATATTACACTTCACGGTGGATAGGTTTTTAAATAGCAAATTAATGAACTTAAACTTTTGAATTATATCCGTTGCATAAAATTTAAAGCAAAAACAGATTCACGGAGGATAGAATCAACACCTACATAAATAGCTATAAAAATTATTTCTTTTAATTTTTAATAATATTTTACTAAATTTTTTAAAATATTGGATAATTTTATGAATTTAGGAAATTTATCCCACCATTTTTTCAATTTATGCCACTGCGAATTTCTCCTACCATTTTTGAAATTTATCCCACTGTACAAATTTGTCCCATCATTTTTTAAATTTATCCCACCGTGAAAACTGTCCTAGTATTTTTTAATTTTGAACCACTGTGCAGATTTTACATTTTGATCATCATTCCATTGTTGCAAAATTTCCTTCCAAACCACGTTGCCAAATGACCTTCACCAAATCCTCAAACCCCCCTCAAAGATCTAAAATTAAAATCGCGCGATTTTTTATTTCGACCAAAACACGTCACATGACTAAAAATAAAACGTAATATGACGTCCAAATTTATTTATAAACTGACCGCAGGTAAAAACCGTGCTAAAATAAGGAGCGAAAAATTACATTGAAACAATCACAATGAAAGTTTTTGCAAATGCAGTGCCGAACGTTTTTGTAAACAAAATTAATGGCTGCAATAGGATTTTTTTATCAAAAAACGTTTTATCTATTATTCATACTACCTATTTTAAGTTATCAATTTCGTTAAAATAGTGCATTAAACATTCAGTTAAGTTTAAAAGTTTGTTTGTGGACGTTATAATGAACTGTTTTAGTGTAAGAAGTAAAGAAAAAGTAAGTCAATTTATCGTTAAAAACTAAATATTAAATAGTCGATTTTGCGGAAGTACACACCGGAAGGATGTAGCGCATCCGACAGAGCATATCTACACGCCCACACCTATAGGGCGTTTCATATTTAAACCTCATACCTTAGTTAAGTTTTATTAAATAAAACTATCTCAATGATTATCCTTTTACAACGTCCTGTATAATTACGATGGATTGTTTTGTTGAAAGAGTGGGGTTCGTTATATACACCCTGTGTATTTTTTTTTGAAGGGTGTTTTTAAAGGACCCGGTATACTAATTGGAAAACTATAGTTTTTTGTAACTCAATGTGTAATTTATTGAACTATTAAACATGATTTTTAAGTTGCATATACATATGTTATGATTATTTTGATGGGTGTTTTTATAACCCCCTGTATATTTACGTTAGTTATCACATTTTAGTCATTATTAATTAAAACAGGCTAGATTTTTGAGTGACCTTTTAAATGTATATGTATCATAGAAGACCCTATAAAATTATGACAATCCGGTCCTTACTTTAATTTTAACAAAACACCCTGTATTTTATAATAATCACTTTTAAATTTTATTAAACTACCTATTACCATTTTTCTAAAAGATATATCTGTATTCAAAATTTATTGTATGTATCTATTTACCTTTAGTATTATTTTTTTAAAGAACTCATTGTTAAATTTAGCTGGTTATATGTATATGAGATAAAAAGCATTTGACACAGTACTGTTGTTGTTTGACTCGATTTTCATAAGTTCAAGGTGGGCGACATACCAAAACTTTACATTGTTACCGATTTTTTTCTATTTAAATTCTCGAAAAGGGATTTGGTTGTACTTACCTACTTTAAAAGCAATAATTTTAACGAGGTGTTTATAACTGATTTTATTTAAGTGGAGTAATGTAAAACGCATAATTATAACTGTTAATGGTATTTTTTTACATTCGAGAGGTATTTGGGTCTAGATTCTCGGCGCCAATATACGGTAGTAAGTAATTAAGAATTTTAAGATGTGTATACGTTTTATAAATTAGATTAATTAGTAACTAGATTAACCTATTTATAGTTGCAACAAATCTAGTTATAACTAAATGTCACCACTAACTAAATAACGATATTTACGAAACAGGCTTGATGTTTTCTATTTTTTTGTGGCGAGACAATTTTTTTAAATAATAATTAATTTAGTATTAAAAACAACACATTAAAAGTTTTTCTAAAAATTTTATTTTAAGATTAAGATTTATAGCTAACAAAATCATCTAATCTACATTTTTGTAAGAAGGCCACTGGGTCACTGACTACAGTGTACTAGCCGCTAAATCAAAAGAAAACCGTAACATCAAACGCCCTTTTTAAAAACTCATGAGTAGGTTTTTATTATGGATGTGCAATTATTTTTTTAAAGTGGAGATTTAAAATAACCCAAAAAATACTTCCTTCTTTATATTTCTAATAATGTGGCGTACGTATACAAAGTTAGAGATGGTCAAAGTTACAGCAAAATATGTGTCCCACTTATTGTTTGTAGTAGGTACCTATTTTTCTTTGTTAAACGCAGAAATTCAATCGCGATCTTTCTCCGTATCATGCTACGTTTTTAGAATAATAAAAGCGCATATATGATTCATATTTTTAACGGTGGGTGCGCTCAGTTTGAATATTAAATTACCAGCATAATCATAGATCTCTATTATTGTTATTGTGAGTCAAATATAGCAAGTAGACAAAACAGAACGTGAAAAAACATTATGCAGTAATTTTTTGTTGTGGGAATATTGGTGGGATTGAGTGTGCGGACTTTTGTGCGCCTTTACCTTATGTTAGACTTCTAATGAATGTTTATTGTTTTGACATTTTCCTCATGTGTTATTTTATTTTTCTACTATGCCCATTATTGTACGTTTACACACGGAAAAAAAATGAATTAAATTTTACAACAACCATATTGTAAAAAAATATTTAATTATTTAATACAATTGTTTTGAAATTAACTAAAACTTAAAGCATTTATATCAACGTATAATTTATTTAAAGTACACAATTTTGGAGCACGGTAAATCTGTATTATTTTGAATTAAGAATTGCATTAGTCAATACAATATTTTATTAAAATATATAACAATATTAATTTAAAACAGAAATTGTAGTAATTTAACTACAAAATATAATTATATCTTCAATAAATTGTTGTTTATTTTTATTACAAAATTGTTAAATTATTTGTAACAAATTGTTCTTGTTCGTATTTTTTAAACAATTTCTACCAGAAAATTCTACAATTGTAGTACTTTCCACAACATTTTTTTTTCCGTGCAGGACATCAAGTTACCTTTGAAAAGTGCGGTGTGGAAAGGGGTGTAAAAATTAAAAATATGAGGTTTTACTACTTTTAAAATAAAAATGTTATATACAGTTAACTCTTGAATACTTTTTGACCTGTGACATTTTTTTCAGCGTGATGGGATGATCGGTCTGCAAGAATGCGGACCTGCGCCCCCTCGTGCGCCCCTGTCCGCCCCGCGCGCCCGTGAGAGAACGGCCCAGGCGCTTGACTACTACAACACCCATGTGCACAAGGCCTGGGCCAACGCCAATAACACCAGGTCAGTAAACAGTACCTACTTACGAATAATTAATTGTTTCGACTTTTACTTGATGAAACTCCATGTTAATTTTGTTTTATTTTAATATAAACTACACTGTTTAAAAGTTTCACTATTTTATTTTAATATGACAATTGTTTCGCTACACAGTAGCATCTTCAGATCTTCTGATCTTCAGATCTTCTGATCTGAAGATGCTACTGTGTAGCGAAACAATTGTCATATTAAAATAAAATAGTGAAACTTTTAAACAGTGTAGTTTATATTAAAATAAAACAATACCTACTTACGACTACTTCCATTCTGTTTCTGTAATTGTTACGCTACAATGTATTAGTAATGCTGTTACGTAGGTACCCTACCTGTATTGCGAGCTTTTTTCGGATAATTAATTCGAGAATGATAATTTTTGTACCGGTGTACAGGATGTTGGGTTTTTGATATTTTATGGATGTGCGCGATTATATCCTGTTTTGACGAATTGTTATTTATAAATAAAAATATTCTACTTAAATGAAATTATCAGTTTATTTACTAAATATCAATTATTTATTTATAGTATCTTTTTATAAATTTTTACGATTAATAAACGAAAGATAGTCTATATAGATGATGATATAGATGAGATACTTTATCCCACCCAAAATTTTGATTTTATAGGTTGGCTATACAGCATAATTTTTGCATATTTGTTATTATATTTTTATGGTTTTTTCTAGTACTTACGGGACTTTTCTGGCAATAAATTTTGTTTAACCAAAGAAAATCCTTTTTTTAACATTAACAGCCGCTTATTGTAATTAAGTAAATTAAGGACGCCATGGCGAATCGATTTTGACATTAACTGTCAAACCAATGACTGTGATACCAACTGTCTAAAGTAAAATTCGACCAAATTAAATTTAAGGTATAGAATTTTTGCAAAATAGATAAAATAGCATAAAGAACTCATGTCATAAGACAAAATGACCTCTTATGACATTAGTTCTTTAATATACTATTATTTGAGGTTGTTTATCAAACTTGATTCATAATGTACTTATTATCTATATTTTTGGTGAAAAACGTTTTTTTTTATCAAATTTTTAATAAAATAAAAGTTTTTATTTAAAAACCTCTATTATAAAAAATAAAGATAATTTTAAAAAGTTTAAAAATCTGGTTTAAGTTTACTCTTTTCTCTTATAATCCCTATTTAAACAATGTTTCTGAAAAAAAAACAAAATTTTTGAAAAAAAAAACATAATAAAAAAAAAATTTTTGTTTACATCACAAATTATTTTCTTAGTTCTTTAATTGTTTCTGTTGACCAAAACTTTCTTATTTCTGGTGAAAGGCTTTCAACCATTGTGATTAATGGCCGTTATATCCAAATTTTTTCAAATTTTTAATAATAAAAAACAACAAGTTTTTATTTAAAAACCTCTATTATAAATAAAGAAAATTTTAAAAAGTTTCAAAATCTGTTTTAAGTTTACTCTTTTCTCTTATAATCCCTATTTAAACAATGTTTATGAAAAAAAAAAATTTTTGAAAAAAAAAAAAATTCTTTTAATCTTAGGTCTTCTTTCAACGATCGCCACCACCACCACTCGACCCCGCGCCGCCATCAGCATCCCGCCCCCGAGAACTTGTGTCGCAGCAACTCCAGCCTGGAACTCCTCGACTACAGCAACTCCTCGCCGACCGCTCTGAAGAGGGGAGTACGGCTCGCACGGTTCGATTGACGTCATAGACCGGCCTACTCCGGCGCCAGGACAAAAGTATGACTTCTTCCAGATGCTTCAGGAGTACCGTCCCGCTACGCTAGTAGAAGACCAACGATCCCCAGGTAAGCTGCGAAAATACCCAACCCAACCCCTTTCCACACCGCACTTTTTGCTCTCGCTTGAGTTGAGTTGTTTGTTGTGAGAATTGTGAGGAATTTGACTGAATTTGAGTTTACATTTACATTACAGTAGTTAGGTACATTGGAAATACAAAACTTGTAATAATAGGTAATTATTATAAAAAATAATAAAGATAATTATCTTATAATCTTTAAATTTATTTTGTTCAAGCTTTTAAAAGAAATCATTTAAATATTCTACATGTTTAATTGTCCAGTAGATATAATTCATATTATAGGGTTTAAAAGAGGATAAATGTATATTATACATATAGAGAGTTTAAAAATTAACAAAACATAAAAATACTGAATACCTTTCTTGTAAAAAATAAATAAAAACTCAATAAATACAAGTTTTATGCCCTTAAAGTTCTAATACCCTTCTGCATCTATTTTCAAAACTCCATAACCACAAAATTAATTTTTTCATCGGTTTTTTCTTTGTTTACTCAGATGAAATTAGGACAAGTTCACAAATTAAACTTAAACATTCAATTTGTGTAAATAAATCCAAAAGCACTTAGTTAAGATATTTACAATTTGGGCCCATAACCTACAATTTGAAAGAAATTCGCTACATTCTGTCATAAAAGTTGCCAGATTTTGTTTGAATTTACCTTCATTACAAAAATGACATAATAAACAATTAATAAAAACGCCAAATTGACAATTTGCATTGTTGATTTTTGTAATTATGCCAAATTTAAACAAAATTTGGCAACTTTTTTGACTGAATCTAGCGGGTTGTTACCAACCATAACATAATATATTAAACTAGGTAACCAGATTACTATAGTTCCTAGTCGATTAGTGGCGTACTTTTTGATGGGATAAAGGTTATTATAAATTATTTTTAGTCTTTAAAATTTAGAAAAAAGAAGTTTCAGGTGCTTCTTTATGGACCCTAAGCAAGTACCCATTTTAATATATTACATTAATTATATAACACTTTGTATATTAATAGGGTTCGAAAATATCATATCAGATGATGTATATCGGATATATATCAGATAAATGTCCAATATGTGTCAAAGTTTTTTTAATCAATAAAAAACAACATTATAACAGAAAATAAAAAAAAACTTTGAAAAACGAATTTTTTATATTTTTTTTATATTTAGGTATCTTTATTTTAATAACATTGTAAATGGCACATCCTCATCTGAAAAATTGTTGATATCAATAACGTTGTCAATAACATTGACATTTTCGACGTCTAGAATGGTAGACAAAATAAAATTAATAAATATATCAGATATATAGCAAGCAATAAATATCGCGATATATACAGAGCTTCCACACCTCCTAAAATTCATAAAATTCCTAAAATTTGGCTTAAATCTTAAAAACTCCTAAAATTGCCATCAATCTCCTAAAACTAAAAATTAAATATAATTAGGCCAACTTGACTGCGTTTAATTAAGGTAGTTTTGCTAAAAAAATTCTTTTTTAAAAAGTAATTTAAAAAATATATATTTTTGGGTTCTAGTTTATTAAATTCTTTTTAAAAAACAACAAAATATAAATTTTTCTTAAAAAACAACAAAATATACCATAAAACAAAATCCATGTAGTAGCTTCTAGACTTTTACAAAATTGTCATTTTTAGCCATATTTCGTTAATTTTAGACAAAAATATACCGTGTTATATAATATCAAACAAAAGGATTTTTAATTTTCTTTTAAATGATAGCTAAAATGTAGTAGCTTCTAGACTTTTACAAAATTGTCATTTTTAGCCATATTTCGTTAATTTTAGACAAAAATATACCGTGTTATATATTATCAAACAAAAGGATTTTTAATTTTCTTTTAAATGATAGCTAAAATGGTAAACAATCTAAAGAATGTTGTAACAATAACATAACAATTATTGTTAGTTAGTTAATTTTTTTTTTCAAAATATCATTAAACTTTGGCCTACTTTTTTAGCCATATCTATAGACGCTTTTTTTAAATAAAATTAAAAGTGTGGTAAAATTTCTACTTGTAGATATATACAAAAGTAGTAATTTTACATCACTTTTCATTTTATTAAAAAAAAACTCGTTGAGCGATTTGGCTAAAAAACTAGTCAATATAACCTATTTGTGCAAAAGAAGTGATATTTATTACTTATTTTTTTCTTATTTTTTAAGTATAGTGTAGAGTTGTTTTTATTTAATTGAATAAATTCATTTGCATACTTTTTTCTCTTAAAATTCTCCAAAAAACCTCCTAAATTCCTAAATAAAATTTTTAATTTAACCGTGGGAGCCATGTATATAGGTATTAACTCTGATCAAAATGAAATAAATTTTGCTACAAATTTATTTCCACGTATTTCGCAGGTCCCTCAGAGTACCTACGAGGCAAGGTGAGCGAAGAACAAGAAGTGCCGCACTCGCCTAAGGTTCGCACGAAGCTGCGTTTTTGGAACAGCGTCTCCGCGCCGAAGCACACGATGGACGACAGCGTGGTGAGCGTGGCTTCGAGCAGCGTGGCGCTCGAACTCGAGGAGATCGCGCGCAGAAGAGCGTTCGCGCATTTCGACTGCCAAAGCTTGACGACGAACCTGAGCTACTCGGTGAGGCAGAGGAGGAACTTGCTGGCGAAGAGAAGGAACACCACCACCGGGGCCTCGGCTGCCTCCATGTTGTTCAGGTAGGTCTCCATTAGACTTATTAAGTGTAGTTTATTAAAATAGGTATGTCTTTTTTATATTTAGATATTATAATCTGAGGTCACAAATATCATAATGAGTGGTTAATTATTTAAACTATAATTTAAACTATATTTTATTATTATTATTTTAACTTGTTCTTTGTGAGAGAAGGAATAAGCTGAATTGTTTTATCTTAATGGTTGTTGTTGGACAAACCAAATTACAAATTTATTATATTTATATTACGTTTACTTTAACATATTATATTGTAATGTAATTTTATATTTTACTACATATTTATATTTAACATTTACATACTTTATTTTGTACAGTTTATCTTATTTTATTTATTTGATAAATTGATATTTATTATTTAATATGTTGAGGCTTTGTTGCAATTTCGCACACCAAACAGTTGTTAGAATTTTCTTTTATTGTTTAACAGTGTTGGTGACGGTCGAAGGGGTCGAGCCTGGAGACTTATAATTATCAATTCACCCATCTTGACCTTTTAAAATAAACATTAACCTAATTTAAACTATAATTTAAACTATATTTTATTATTATTATTTTAACTTGTTCTTTGTGAGAGAAGGAATAAGCTGAATTGTTTTATCTTAATGGTTGTTGTTGGACAAACCAAATTACAAATTTATTATTATTATTTATTTACTTTTGGCTTTGTTTGGTGTCAGATCTTCGACGCCTGATGGCGACGCCAGTGACGACGACTACGGCGACGGGAAGACCAACGAGCTGGTGGAAAGTTGTCCGTTCTTCCGCAACGAAATAGGCGGGGAGGAGGAGCGCGTCGTGAGCCTCTCGCGGCTGCAGAACAACGGGCAAAACGGCAGGAAACCGCTGCACAGGCCGCCGCTGGCGTACGGGGTGGCCGTGCTGGAGTTTCCGCCCGGGGAAACGCACTGGAGGAACTCGACGTGTCCCTACCAGAAGTTTCCCAGACCCATCGAAAATGTGGACCAGGGCGCCAAGTATTACAGGCACTACTTCTACAACAAAGGTAGGATTTTTATATTTTTGTGATTGCGGTACAAGTTTGTGTCAAACTTATCAAATTATTTCTTTAGTGAACTTATTTCAAATCTGCTTTGTTTTATCATTAAAACAAACTGAATCTTATTTTTACTTTTATTTAGTGCAAAGTGCAAAATTAACTTATTTTACCAAATTATTTTTAATGAACTTATTATTTTTTATCAAATTAGGTTTTTTTTATCAAATTGTTTTTTTATCAAATTATTTTTTTTTATCAAATTTTGATTTTTTTTATCAAATTATTTTTTATCAAATTGTTTTTTATTAAATTATGTTTTATCAAATTATTTCTTTAGTGAACTTATTTAAAACCTGCTTTGTTTCATTAAAACAAACTAAATCTTATTTTTACATTTATTTAGTGTAAACTTATTTCAAACCTGCTTTGTTTTATCATTAAAACAAACTAAATCTTATTTTTACATTTATTTAGTGCAAAGTGCAAAAATAACTTATTTTACCAAATTATTTTTTAATCAAATTATTTTTTTTATCAAATTAAATTTTTTTATCAAATTGTTTTTTTATCAAATTATTTTTTTTTACCAAATTATTTTTTTTTATTAAATTGTTTTTTTTTATCAATTTATTTTTTTATCAAATTAAATTATTTCTTTAGCGAACTTATTTCAAACCTGATTAAAACAAACTAAATCTTATTTTTACATTTATTTAGTGTAAAGTGCAAAAATAACTTATTTTACCAAATTATTTTTTAATCAAATTATTTTTTTTATCAAATTAGGATTTTTTTATCAAATTATTTTTTTTCATTAAATTGTTTTTTTATCAAATAATTTTTTTATCAAATTGGTTCTTATCAAATTATTTTTTCATCAACTTATTTTTTATGAAATTATTTCTTTAGTGAACTTATTTCAAACCTGCTTTGTTTTATCATTAAAACAAACTAAATCTTATTTTTACATTTATTTAGTGCAAAGTGCAAAATTACCTTGTTTTACCAAATTATTTTTTAATCAAATTATTTTTTTTATCAAATTAGGTTTTTTTTTATCAAATTGTTTTTTTATCACATTATTTTTTTAACCAAATTATTTTTTATCAAATTGTTTTTTATCAAATTATTTTTTTATCAAATTAATTTTTATTAAATTATTTCTTTAGTGAACTTATTTCAAACCTGCTTTGTTTTATCATTAAAGCAAACTGAATCTTATTTTTACTTTTATTTAGTGCAAAGTGCAAAATTAACTTATTTTACCAAATTATTTTTTATCAAATTAGTTTTTTTTATCAAATTAGGTTTTTTTACCAAATTATTTTTTTTATCAAATAGTTTTTTATCAAATTATTTCTTTAGTGAACTTATTTCAAACCTGCTTTGATTTAACATTAAAACAAACTATATCTTATTTTTACATTTATTTAGTGCAAAGTGCAAAAATAACTTATTTTACCAAATTATTTTTTAATCAAATTATTTTTTCATCAAATTATTTATTTAGTGAACTTATTTCAAACCTGCTTTGTTTTATCATTAAAACAAACTAAATCTTATTTTTACATTACAAAAATGACATAATCAACAATTTATAAAAATTTCCATTATTTTTAAATCTTTCACAATAAATTCCTAGTTGTAACCCTATTAACAAATCCACATTTATTGCGTTAAAAATGTAATAAAAAATTAATAATTTGGTTCTTATAAAATTGTTGACGTATTAAACCAATTCTAATGACAAATCATATTAATAAATATCAAATAAAAATACAACAAAACATGGCTTTATGGTGACTGCTCGAAATAATGATGGAGGAAATTAGTTTTCGCGTGTTGGTACTGCTATGTACCATTGTAGTTGAATCGAAAAATAATAGTGATTTGATGCCGGTTCCGATTGTTAACCTTGGTTTTGCCTTTTTAGGCCCGAGCAGATCGCGTTATATGGTATTACGGACTGCAGTCATGCCAAAACAACAAACCTATATGGCACTACTATTGCGGTTATGCAATAAAAATTCTTTCTGCATAAACTTACATGTTTCGAGTCTTAGGAAAGTTACCACGCATTATTTATAGACCAAAATGAGCCGATTTAAGTAAACTTACCTTGGTTGCTTAGTTTTTTATTCATTGGAATATCCCAAATATTTTTAAAATTATTTTTTTTACATTTAAAAATATTTTCGATAAAAAAAATTTTAAGTAATGTAATTAAAACCTTTGTGGAATTCCCGCTCCTAACCGTATCATATGACGCATTAAAAGCCTCAACGTGTCTTTTTAAGTAATTTATTGTGTTTCTGCGAGCATTATAAAGCGAATAATGCGTTGGAAGTAATTAATTTTGACCCGCAAATTGAATCCTCGACCTCGCCTTCAATTTAACCAACTTTTATTTTGTTGTATCATTCGCAATGTCCAGTTTCTCTCTAATTAGTTCACATGCGAACCATTGGTTTGTTACACAAGAAGTTAGATGCAGTTCTATTATTTTTGACCCCAAAATTGACCCTTCTAGGGACCCAAGGGAAGTGACGAGTATACCAGGGTACTAATTAAATACATAATTTATTGGAAAATATAAGATTTATTGAAACTTTGAGCATATTATACATTAAATATCTTAAAATCAAATAATACCACACATCAGTGGCGGCTGGTGGATTTTGGGTATAACGATATCTCAATTATTAGATATGGGACCCACAAAAAATTTATATAAGTTTATAATGACATTAAATAAACAAGTTCTGCGCAAGCAGAATTTAAATTGAAGTTTGCGAAAAAAGATAACCGAAATATCGAACATGGAACTGATGACATCAAGTTGTCCAATTTTTGTTAAATCACCCTTATAATAAAAAAACCAAACAGAGCACATTGCGTATCTCAGTTATTTAAGGTATTTCGAATGATTTTCTCTTGACACTTGTTTTGAACATGAAAGCAAGTTTACTATGTCACGTATCAGGTTTCTGATAATTAAACGAATAACTTACTCATAAGAATGCCGCTTTGCAGAAGTTCAGTGTCAACGTTCTCAAACAAAAAAGTAAACAATTATAGAATAGTTATACTTTTTATTACGTACATCAGTAACTTGCAAATTGAAAGAAGGAAAAGTTTCGTTATTATTGCTTATCTCTTTCAAACCAAATCGATGCTATTTTCAAAGGCAGGAAAATTAACTACTAGATTTTTTACAAAAAGGTTCAACCTAACAGAAAGTAATTTTTATTTATAATATTTAACAATTAAATTATCAATAATAAATATTACTGTCAATTTTGCAGAAGACTACTTTAAAACTTACAAAATACAAAAAATGTTCTGTTTATTTATAAACAATGATTATAAAACTGTTGTTACATGATTAATTATGTTTAATAGTTTTTTGCATTATTTAGCAAGGTCAAATGTAAGTTTAAAGATTATTATTTACAATTATTGTGTAATTAATAATGCATATGTATGATTCAACTTATAGGCAGATGGCAATTTTAAAATTACCATTAACTTAATTAATTACAAGTTTATAGCGCATTACACACACACATTACAAAATTGAACCAATATTCCATTATTGAAATAATGCGCAGAATGCCATCTAAAAGTACTCTTCCTCTCACCACTGTTCGGATACTGTTTTATTATATAAACTGCAGAACTGTGTATCAAAGTACTTTTCCTTTCACCACTGTTTGGATACTGTTTTATTATATAAACAAACCGCAGAACTGTGTATCATCAAAAATGACTTTAGATCTTGATCTAATTTTCGCGAAATCTTCTTTATCAGATCATCAAAATTGGTTCGGCATGGATGAGCAGCTGGGCCCTGTTGCCATATCGATTCGGCGGGAAAAAGTACTTCCGGAGTCCGAGGGCAATTCCTCGATCACTCAGTACCAATATCGGTTGGTAATACGGACTTCGGAACTCCAAACGCTCAGAGGAGCTGTTTTGGAGGACGCCATCCCGAATATTAAAGCGTCGAGCAATCCAAAAACGCTACACACCAAAGAGGTGAGGGTTTGAGTTTATTTCAGTGTTTTCCTTTTCTTGAAGTTACCAACGATATTTATTTAGGTTTTAGAATATGTCGCCCCAGAAATCCAGCTGAGTTCTTTGAGACTCGGTCAAAATACTGCGGCTACGATCGAACAAATTCTAAAACTGGACGAGCAAGGTTTGACGAATAACTATAAGGTTGGTATTATGTATTGTAAGGCTGGTCAGTCGTCCGAGGAGGAAATGTACAATAACGAAGAAGCAGGGCCGGCCTTTTTGGAATTTTTGGACACCATCGGCAAAACGGTTAAGTTGAATGGGTTCAACAAGTATAAGGCTGGATTGGATAACAAATGTAAGTAGAGAAATCACTTTATCAAATGTTGTAAGTTATATTATACTGGGTGTTATATTAAAAAATTACCAATAGATCCTATATTCTTATAGTTAAGATTATAAGAGCGCAATCTATAGCTGTTTAACAATTTTGAATACAAATTTATCCCTAGTTATGTGTAAAATTTCATGATTTTACGAGGTATTATATTATTTAATATAACTTTATAAGTAGAATTAATAAAATAATTTTACTAAACATACAATATCGTGTTACATACATCTTTAATTTAAACCATGTTTTTTTTTTAAATATTTTTGTTATGTATAAGAATTAACAGCGCCTTAAAGCCAGAGAAAAATCCGTTCACTTTAAACAGCTGTATCTTTTTGAAATAAAACGTTTTTTAATTTTTTCTTTCGGAATCTGACAAATCAAAGTATTTTCTGAAAAATACTTTATATATTTCTACAAATACCATATTTGGAGCGTGTTTTTGCGTCTCTTCCAGCGGACTCCACAGGCCTTTACTCAGTCTATGCCGAGCACCAGGATTGCGAAATAATGTTCCACGTCTCCACCATGCTCCCGTTTACTGCGCAGAACCGGCAACAGCTGCTGCGCAAACGTCATATAGGCAATGACATCGTCACCATAGTGTTTCAAGAACCGGGTGCGTTGCCTTTCACTCCGAAAGGAATACGTTCGCAGTTCCAGCACGTTTTTATAGTTGTGAATGCTATAAATCCCTGCACGGAGAACACGTATTACAAGATTGCTGTGAGTAGAAGTAAAGAAGTGGAGGTTTTTGGGCCGCCGATAAAAGAAGGAGCTGTGTTTCCCAAGGGAAAGGTTAGAGTCACAATAAAATTATAGAACATTCACTAATAATTTCTTTCAAGGTTTTTACTGATTTCTTGCTGGCCAAAGTGGTCAACGCGGAAAATGCCGCGCACAGATCTGAAAAGTTTGTCACCATGGCAACAAGAACAAGACAGGAATACTTGAAGGACCTGGTGAAACAGAACGCCAACGGACCTCCGGTCGATACGGGTCAAAAATTCTGTAAGTACTTCACCAAAATCCAAAAAAAAATATCATAACTTTCTTTGCAGCAATATTCAGCAGCAGTAAGAAGAAGGATAAAATCCGTCCACGTTTCATCCCGGACCTGTGCCAAAGAGGCGCCATCTTGTGGCAAGTGATGTTAGACGATAGCAGCCAGCGCGAGCAGATCGAGTGTTTCCTCGGCATATCGTCCGATACCTTCGTCCTGATCGAGGAACATTCGAAGCAAATCGTTTTCGTGACCCCTTGCAAGTCGATTTTGGGTTGGTCCCCGCAGACCAACAGCCTAAGGATCTATCACCACCAAGGTAAGAGAAAAATATCTCATAATGTCTTGGTCTTCAAAAAAGTTGTCTTGGTCTTCCCTTTAACATCTTTGGGCAACATATTAAGTCGCAAATAAATTTTCCCCGCAAAAATGCTAAAAGTAAGCCTTCTAATATCAAAATACCTTATGGTCATCAAAGAAGTCGTCTTGGTGTACCATTTAACACCTATGCTCACCATTTCCAAATTCAAATTTAATTTTTCCACTACAATGCCAAAAGTAAGCTTTCTTCTCTCATGGTCTCCCAAAAAGTAATCTTGGTGCACTATTTAACACCTTTCTTCTCTATTTTCAAGCTCTAATTTAATTTTTCCACCACAATACCTAAAGTAACCTTTCAAACAAAATATTGATACGTGAAACATCTCGTGGTCACCCAAAAAGTAATCTTGGTATGCTATTTAACACCTATGCTCACCATTTCCAAATTCAAATTTAATTTTTCCACCACAATACCAAAAGTAAGCTTTCTAAACCTAAAACATCTCATGGTTTTCCAAAAAGTATTCTTGGTGCACTATTTAACATCTTTCCTTACTATTTTAAAGCTCAAATTTAATTTTTCCACCACAATACCAAAAGTAAGCTTTCTAAACCTAAAACATCTCATGGTCTCCCAAAAAGTAATCTTGGTGCACTATTTAACATCTCTTTTCCCCATTTCCAAATTCAAATTAAATTTTTCCACAAAAACCCAGCAATTAAGGTATTCAATACCGAAATTTCAGGCGAGTGCATGACGATACACATGCGCGACGCGAACGCAGACAGAGACGAACTCATGGAGGTTATGGACAGGCTTAAGGCCGTGACCAAAGGCGTTTTGGCGCAGGAGTTCACAATCAGTCGGAACATAATGGGCCAGTTGGGTTTCCACGTGCAACCCGATGGTATAGTCACGTTGGTGGAGAGCCAAGGTCAGGCGTGGCAGGCGGGGTTGAGGCAAAACTCGCGATTGGTGGAAATTTGCAAGGTTGCCGTCGCCACGTTGACCTACGATCAAATGGTGGACTTGCTGAAGACTTCCTTGAATGTTTTGTTGACTGTGATTCCGCCTCTGGCGGATGGTACGGCCAGGAAAGGTTGCACCTTGCAGAATTGCAAGTACAATGAAGGGAATTTCGAGGGGGACTATGAAAATTTGGGGTAAGTAGAATAAGGAGATTACTTATTATTTTCTACAATATGGATTTGTAGGATTGATGAAAACAAGGGGAAGAGGGCGCCGCAGATGCAACAGGCTGTGGCGGGGAATCACAGGAGGATATATGATAGAAGTTTTTCACCGCCAAGGTCCAGCAATAGTTCTGGTTATGGTACAGGGAGTAGCAGCAAAAGCTTTCATGGGCAAGAAACCAAATACGCCACCAACGTTGAGGTATGTTTGAACAAAAATTTGAACTTTACTTAACGCTATTTAACTTTGCAATTATTCCGTACAGCCTAAAAGGAATACCTGTAAGTAATTAGAAGGGTTTTGCATAGGGGAGATAATACATTTCCCATAGGTATTTTTTAATAAATGCATGTCCGAAATCGTTGTGTGTGTACATCACAATGGGTATCACTGAAACTCTTTTCAGGGCACTTTAACCAGTTCCTTGAGTGGTCTTTCCAATGATGACAAGTGGTACGATATTCTGCAGGAGTTGGATCCGCCGCCGAAATCGGGCCACCAAATGCAGAATTCCCGCACCAACACTTTTCCGTCTACACCTAAGAGAAACAACAACCAACACCAAATATCGCAACACTCGGTGGCGCAGAATCACAACCACTACACCGTGCAGTCGCTGCATCACAACAAAGTGCAAGCGAGCAACTCCTTGCCCTTACAGCAGTTCGGGAATTACTCCCAACCGTTGAGTTTTCACAACGAAGAGTTGGTGTACAAAAACAACATCGTCAAGCAGCAAACGGAACGCTTGAGGCAGGAGTGCGAGTATCACAGAAGCAACAAAGAGTTGAACAGCGATTTTCAACGTTTGAACGTGCAAGACAGCAGGTCCACCAGTAGCTCTATCAGCGATAGAATCAATCTTATCGGTAGCGAGGATGATTTATCGGCTGGAAGTGGCAACTGCTCGCCGAAAACGCGGCGAAATAAGCATATAAACGCGAATTACAGCAGCAGAAACCAAAGTCCGAGATCTCTTAACGGGGAGGCTAAACTACGTCCGGGTGTTACATCGAGATCTTCAAATAGAAACAGCGCGAATATTTCGAATGCGTTTCAGGAAGAATTACTGCGCTTGATAGATCCTGACAACATCGAACCGCAACAGCAACAAGAGGTGAAAAAAGAAACGAAAACTCACTCGAGAGAGAACTTGAACAACGCTTTGTCGGTCCATAAAGGCAACCCTGAGGTAATCCTTACGATGGCTCGTCCTGCTACTGTAATCTCGAACGCCAGTACCACGTCGAGTCCGCTGCAAAACGAGTTTAAGAACGACGTTTTGAAGGGTAAGGTGCAGCTTGCGTTTGCGGAAGAGTTTCCTTTGCCGCAGGAAGGCGATTGGCCCTCTCTTGTGGATACGGCGACAAGGGCCATGATGACGGTTTCGAATGACGCAGAAAGGTGGGAGGATGAGGGGAGGGTCGACGCTTCTTTAGCTTCAAGGTGAGTTGGAATGTCATATTTTAAAACGTTTAAACCATATTCAAAAATGTACAATTTACAATTTTTTCATTTTATTCAAAGGGTAATACGAAAAAATTAAAAAGTCCAAATATCTGTACACAGAAAAACGTGAATTGTTGACTTTGATTATAATTATATTCATATGATTATAATTAGAGTCGAAAATTCACTTTTTTCTTTTTGTATTATAATACATGATTATTAGGGTGGGCCGAAAATCCGCTTTTTTAGAATTTCGTTTAGTAATAGCAAAAATTTTGTTCATTATGTTGTAAAAAAATTTTGTGTAAAAGATTAAATTTTTCGATCAACATCCTAGGCTCGCCCAACGCAATTAAAGATCAAAATGTTCAAAATATTTTGATACTAAAATCGGGTTTATTTCTGAAACTATCCATCTGAAGTAATTTTGTGTAAGGACCTTTTTTGTAGAGCATAAAATTTCCGATCGAAATAAGTTAGGAACATTTTTTTTTGAACATTTTCATCTTTAGTTGCGTTGGGCGAGCCTAGGATGATGATCGAAAGTTTTAATCTTTTACACAATTTTTTTTTACAACATAATGAACAAATTTCTGAAACTATCCATCTGAAGTAATTTTGTGTAGAGCATAAAATTTCCGATCGAAATAAGCTAAGAAAAATTTTTTTTGAACATTTTGATCTTTAATTGCGTTGGGCGAGCCTAGGATGTTGATCGAAAATTTTAATCTTTTACACAAATTTTTTTTACAACATAATGAACAAAATTTTTGCTATTACTAAACGAAATTCTAAAAAAGCGGATTTTCGGCCCACCCTAATGATTATCTTAATTATTATAATTATTATTATTCCTATTATTATAATTCAGTGCTGTTCAAACATAACTTTCGTTTTATTTAACACTACAATACAAAAATTATAATTGGGGGCTGAAAAGCTCGATTTTAGTCAAAACTAATTTTAACAAAAACTACAAGAGATATTAACTTGCAATTTGGACTACATATTAATGCATATAGGGGCTTTAACTTATCGAAAATATACACTTATACATCCAGTGGCGGAACGTGAAATGGGAAAAATATTTATTTTACAGTAAATGGCTTTAACTCATCATCTATAGGTTTGCCAATTCTGTTCTCAATAAATGAATTCAAGCCCTTAGAATTAAACATTATTATAAATACAATTTAAGGTAAAAAAATCTGTATAGGTACATCAATTTGATTAGGTATGTTAAGGTAGAAAATCGTAGATTGTTGTGGTAAGGATTAATCGTTTCATAGATTTACAATTAAATATTATTACCTGCATACTAGCATTATATCGCAAATTATTTTGTTAAATCTAATTAATAATTTTTGCTACTAAATATTTACTTTAATTACAATTTATTTCATGCTTATTTCAACAAAATAGTTTACTTTATTAAACAATTTAACAAATAATGCTTATTTGGTTTAAATATATATGTTTAATGAATTACCTATTTATAACAAATTATTAGGTTTTAATTAATAGACAATCCTTTGCTTTGTAGGTGTCTTAAAGGAAAAATATTTTATAAATTAATTAATAATCCCTTGTTTTGCATCTTTAAAGGTAAAAACTATTAGGTAAAATATTACTTTCTGAGGAAGCTCAAGAATCTAAAAATAAAGATTTTTAAAAATTTAGATATATGTTTTCGAGAAAAACAAATCGTACTTAGGAGAAATACAAAATTTGTAAAATATATGCTTGATGAAGAAGTTATTAATGGTATAAATGTTAAAATTCAAATTATGTCTATTTATTTCTTAAAAAATTATGTATTTATTTGCAATAAAAAAGTTATTGAGTTATTTTCGCAATCGTTTCAACGCGAACATCTAAAAAAGGCATTTAAAAAATTAAGACCTTTATTTTTTTATTAAAATATAGTTAATTATACCTAATAAGTCTTATTTAACACAGTAAAAAATAAAAAAATAAATATTTCTTTGCAATAAAAAAGTTTTTTGATTATTTTCTCAATTGATGCTCTAGGACCATCTAAAACGCATTTAAAAAATTATTTAACCAAGTACAAAATAAAAAAATTAATATTTATTTGTAATAAAAAAGTTATTGAGTTTTTCCGCAAAACGCTGCTTTTTGACCATAGTTGCAATTAATCTTGTTTTGCATTTGACACGTTGTGTAACAACCGAATTAATTAATCTTGTTTGTATACAATACATTTTTAAATTAACAAGCTATTTTTTACATATATATCATGGTAATTCCTAATTTAAATTACCTGATTACAAATATTATTATCGCATAATTTATTACACAAAACCCTGAAATGACAAAATGATACAACATATTTCTACTTCTATACAAAAGTTGATAAATACTAAATTACAAAGTTTGATTTTTGTGGGTTTTCAGGCCTGGAAAATTAAATTTCTTTTAAAAATTAATATTTACCTATATCGTCAAAAAATATTTTATACTGTAAATTGCAACACAATAAAAAATCTTTTAATTTTTGATAAAACAGGCTTTCTTTGCAGTTCTAGCGCCGGTATTCCGGAGCTACAGAGTCACGTGGCAGAGCTGGAGACAAAAGTGAGTCACGAACAGAGGCGCAGGATTTCCCTGGAAAACGAAGTTCGAAGGCTGAACGAGGAGAACGCGAAGCTGCGCGACCAGGCGCAGGCGGCCGTGCACCAGCTGCGAAAATTCACCGAGTGGTTCTTTAAAAACGTCAAAAGGCAATGACGATGCGAAAAAATCTTATGAACGTGTACATAGTATTACCTAATTTTAGAAGTAACTACAAACATCTGTTATCTTATTGTATTATGCCAAAAAGCAATTTAAATAATCTAAATTAGTACCTAAAGTAAAGTCCGTAACACCAATTATGTGATTATAATAAATAGTAATGTTAACTGCCTCTCTTTATATTAAGGCAGTATTTTTATGAAGTATTATTGAGTATATTAGAAGTTACCATAAAATTATTATATTATAAACTGGACACTTAAGGGGTTTGTTATACTATTTGCCCCCCTTAATTAATTAATTAATTAAATAATCAAATTGACGATTTTCTCGATATATTGCTTTAATTTATATAATACTTTAGTGAAGCCTAGTTTGCCTTCATTTTTGATATAAATATATTAGCAGCTAATCTTTTAATATGTTGGCATATTTTTAATGTTTATACGTTTTAATATCTATTAATATATAGTTATTTATCTTTTTAAAACCAAAAGACCAAATCACGTTAATGTTATATTATGTATAATATGTAATTTTTTTTAGTAGAAACACGTAAATTTTACGTTTTTTTCCATTCCAATGCATTGTTAGCTTTTAATAAATATTTTCATTGTGACCTGTTTATGACTTTGTGAATGGATTTATTATTATTATTTTATCAAGTATTATAATTGTAAATTTTTTATTTAAAATGTATATTATAAAATTATGCGTTTTATTTATTTATTACCCTTTTTTCCTATTATTATAATAATAATATATATATTATTTCAATACAAAAATACAAAAGTATTAAATAGCAGGGTTCCTGTTTATCAGAAATTATATATATTTTAAATATAAAATTGGTTAAATTTTACTAAAATGTCATAAAATTTCAATTTTTTAACAATGTTCTCATCTTTGCTTTTTTATAAAATGGAAATTTTGTAAAATAAAACTTTAAGCCAGCCCTGTAAAATAAACAATAAATTGTTTCAAATACGTCCCTTGGTTGATGACGTATAAACTTCATACTTTGAAGGAAGAAGAAGAAGAAGACTTATTAAGTTAGGTTAGGAAATTAATTTTAAATTTCAAAATTTGAAATGAACAGTGTATATTGTTTTTTATTATAATAACTTTGGAAATAATAAATTCTTGTCATAAAAAGTGTCAAAGTTTTTATGAACATTTTTTATTTTCGCCGGCAGTAAACTAGATATACCTAAATTTCGGGTGGAGAAACATTTTCTTTACTTTATGCCGGTAATACAGATTCCCAAGTTAAAATGGTTACTCTATTGTTTTATAGATGTCGCTCCATACACATATTTAATTTAAATCATTTTTAGATAATAATAACTTTTCTAGACAGATTCGATCGTGCCTAATAAAACTCGTAACTAAAATGGCGTTTATAAAATTTGATACATAATATACAAATTTCTACTACGGGTCTTACATTGGAAAAAGTGAGGTTGGAACTGTTATTAATTATTAATCAATTGATATAATTTTTTTTAATATATACCTACCTATGAAGGGCGACTTTAATATTTTTAAAAATTGGGAAAAAGCGAGGTTCAAATTGTCTGACAGATGTTAGATCAGGTAAGTTAGGTTATAACTGTCAAATGTTTAACAAATAAAATTTGCTTTTAATTCTTATGAATATTAGGTCCTTTGTGTTTGTTGTAGATACAGCATTCATTTCTCTACATAATATATTAAAAAAAAATAAAATAGATGCAGGGAAGAAGTTTTATTCAAAAATATGTTTTTACTAAGAATGTCAAAGAACATAATAATTAAATTTCATTTATTAAACTTTTAACACATCAATGTGACATTGGTCAAAGTCCGGCTCTGTTCAAAATAATCGATTTTTATTCCGTTGTGCCCGTTTTCTTAGGATGGGTCCGCAACTTTCCCTAAAATTTCGGTACCTGTTACTACTTGTAGCCCCTCTGGTAGTGTATGGGGTATATTCGGCATATTATTACTACACAGCAAGGAAAAAGAAGCCATTCCTCATGGTACGTATTTTTAAACACGTGGTGTAATATTCAGCTTTGATAACACTGTTTAAAATTGTTATTCACTGGATAATATAACCGAATTTTTTGGTGCTATTGCGCAAGGGTCGTTAGACAGGGCCGTATTCAGGTTTTACAAAATTTGGTTATGTTAACTGTGTGACATTTTGTCAAGTTTTTAGCAGAGATTTTTTATATTTCCCGCGTTAAAAATGTCGAATTTTCGCTTGTTTGTGAAGGACAAGTCGTTGGAGTTTATAAATGAGCTGGAAATTATCAAACATAGAATATGCGTAAGACTTTTTTTTTTGTATTAAAAATTTGTACAAGTCCAAAATTATTATTTTGACAAATCATTTTCTAAAATCATTTAAAAGTTCAAAATGCATTTTTGAGATATAAGTTATTTTACAAAATATGATTGTTATATTTTTTTAATAGTTGAAACATTCTCACAAAAATGCATTTTATGAAATATTCAAATATCAACACAATAGAACCTTGAAAATCCAATTAAGGATGCGCCTATAAACCAACACCTTGTTTAAAATCATATTTAAAGTAATGACATCATATCCCAATTGTTCCATATAAAGTAACTAACAATGCATACATAGTATCACATAAAGATAACCCATACTTAAATAACCCGCTTAATTAAACGATAAATAAGTAATATATATTCTTACTCATTCTTCAAATAAACCCGGTGTAGTCACCACACCTTTACCGAGTTATTTATAAACAAATCGCAATGCAAAATATAAGAACTAGGTTGTTATAAGTAAGCGGGAGATGAATTTAAAAATAGTTTTTGTGTGATAATTGTGTTTTGTAAATTGTGCGGTTGTAACTTTAAAATGCCCTGCTGCTGCGGTAAAAAGGACAAAACTACGGACCTTATAGAATCTAAATGTGCGCAGGATAATTCGCAACTGTTGAGCAAACAATTGGTAATACAAAACGTGTAATAAAATCGATAGAAATGTTGTAAATTAACCACATTATGTAGATTATGAAATTCCTAACCTTTAAAAACCAGTCTTGTTTTGTCGCTAATATAAACATGATTGCTTGCGAGTCAGGAATTGATATTGGCGTTGATGTTTTGCAGGAACTCTCCAAATTGCAGGAAACCCCGCATGACTTCGGTCCTGGATATATCGTGGATGTACAGGGCACTATAGAAAATACCTGCTCCAGGTTCGTAAAATACCGTTATAATAACATTAAAAATCACACGACCTATTTATTATTCCATTATTACAATAAGTACTAAAATATAACCTTAATTTCCATCTAATTTATATTTACACGATGATGTAGTTCTTGAAACAGCTGTTACAATTCATTCGTTTTTATTTTTAAATGTTTTATTGATGCAGCAATTTTTAAAGATAACGTCATCATCCTGCTGCGAATGAAAACAACGTTGCCATGTTGTGATTTGGCAACGTTGCTAGGTATAGTTGTCTGTAATTCCTGCCGATGGTTTTGAAGTTTGGCTGCGTTACGATAGATGGCGTTATAGGTACTGAATCTCATATACTTACCACACATATACAGATCATTTTGGATTCAGGCTGTTTCCTTTTCGTGGGGTTAAAGTAGGAGCTAGCTACTTATGCAGTTTTGCACATGCGTGGGGCCGTGTTGTCAGATGTAATAATATTTTATTTTATATTATATTTATAATTTATAAATTATAAATTTATAATATTTATTTATTTATTTATTTATTTTATAATATATTCTAATATAATTTTCGTTATTATTAAGCTTATAAATTATGTTATATCGCAAAATTTATAAAAAATTATATTAATGATGTTTTTAAGTATTAATAATAAAAATATATATATATATATATAAAAATCATAGAAATAACACTATGGGATTCAGGCTGTTTCCTTTTCGTGGGGTTAAAGTAGGAGCTAGCTACTTATGCAGTTTTGCACATGCGTGGGGCCGTGTTGTCAGATGTAATTATATTCTAATATAATTTTCGTTATTATTAAGCTTATAAATTATGTTATATCGCAAAATTTATAAAAAATTATATTAATGATGTTTTTAAGTATTAATAATAAAAATAAGTAATATTTTTTTAATTTTATAAAAATGTTGTTTAGCATTGGAAATTTGGCTACGTCGCATTTTATTACCCAAGCGAGAAGCTTATAATCAACCATCTTGGTTTACTTTTTGGCTTCGTTTTCGATTGTTTACTTCGTTTTGTGTTTTTACGTGATTTTTCAAGCTTCTTTATCGTTGTTTTGAACTGTTTTTAGTTCAGTTTAATTTTGTATTAATTAAAATGGTACAACGTTGTGGATTGTGCAATTCCAAAAGGATTAATGGAGTTCTTTTACATAGGTAAGTAAAACTAAAAAACTTCAGTAGTATATAACTAATTTTATGATTTATATCTGAGTTTTTAAAACTACTTTATTATTTTAGATTTCCCAAAGATCCTAATCTAGCAGCTTTGTGGAAAGCAGCATGTGGATATATTGAGGACGATGTTACCACACGTATTAATATCTGCTCAAAACATTTTAATCCAGATGATTATTTATTTCCTCAAAATAAATATTTAAAATCTGGTGCAATTCCTACCTTATATCTGCCTCATAATAAGGAAAATGCTTCTCCCAATATTATTCATTGTCCAGGTAATGTACATGACTTGTTACTAATAAAAAATTAATATACCTAATTAAGTTTTAATCGTTAATGCTTTGACCAATTCAGGTCATGTGTACTGCAAAAAAAAAAAATAAAATATAAAAAGATATTGACAAGTAACATAATTGTAGGCACAATACATCATGTGGTTATAAGGATAATACATCACTCAGAATGGCAGAATAAATTAATCAATATTTTTTTTTTTTCAGAATCAACAGGAAATGCTGATAAAACATTAAAGAATGAATTTAATGAGACAAATTATGAAATAAAAGCTGAAAT